TAGTGTCATCTGCGAATTTGATGAGTTCCCCTTCAATTCCCTCGTCTAAGTCATTTATGAAGATGTTGAAGAGTACTGGGCCTAAGACGGAACCTTGTGGTACCCCACTGCTTACTTCTCTCCATGTGGATGTAGGGCCATTGAGGACTACTCATTGAGTATGATTTGTCAGCCAGCTACAGATCCATCTGGTGGCGATATTGTCTATTCCACCTTTTTCTAGCTTATCAAGGAGTAGATTTGTCAAATGCCTTACTGAAATCTAGGTATACTGTGTCCATTGCGTTTTGCTGGTCTACTAGTTTGGTCATTTTATCAAAGAATGAGAGAAGATTGGCATGATCTGTTTTTAACAAACCTGTGCTGGCTGCTAGTTATGACTTTGTTTGCTTCTAGTTGTTCGCAGATCTGTTTTTTGATTACCTTTTCTAGGATCTTCCCAGGTATTGATGTTAAACTGATTAGTCTGTAGTTTCCTGGGTCCGTTTTTTTCCCCCTTTTTTGAACATGAGGACCACATCAGCCCTTTCCCAATCCTCCAGTACTTCCCCCGGTGTTCCAGGATTTGTGAAAGATGTGGTGCAATGGTTCTGAGATAACATCTGCCAGCTCTTTCAGAACTCTGGGATGTAATCTTTTGGGTCCTGGTGATTTATATTCGTCAAGGTTGGATAGGTGTTCTCTTACCATTTTCTTGCTTATTTTGATTTTTGTTTCTAGTATGTCTTTTGTGGTGGGTTTTTTGTGTTTGTTGGACTATGGTTGTTTTTTTGTGTGTGAAGACTAATGCAAAGTATGAGTTAAGCAGCTCTGCTTTCTCCCTGTTGCCTGTAATTTCCTAGCTCCCTTTCCTTATTTCATTTTCTAAAATGAAAAAGTAGATTAAGGCTGTTGAAAACTGCAGCCGACAAATAACACCCATTCATACACCATCCCGCTATAAATAGGTATTTGGGGGGGGAAATAAGTATTGCTTTCCAAAATTGCTCAGGGTTTTTGTGCCCTTTTTCTAAAAACAACTCCTATTTTTGAAAGTTTCAAATGATGTAGTACGATTTTCAAATACTGGTAGCTTTGTCGACCATTTAATGCTTGGTACGTTTCTTCCTGGATAAAGAACCTTCTTGAAAAATTATGTCTGCCATTGCTGTTGGGCTAATTTTTACCTGCTTTTAAACTCAGGATCACCCCAGCTGATCCTAATACAGCATTCCATCATGCCTCTACAGCAGGGGTGTAAAACCCGTCACGTGATGTGTCGCAACGTATCGCAACTTTTTTTCCATTGCCGACAATGGGGTGAGCGCGGTTTTGCTATGATGCACCCGGCCCATGGGCTGGCAGTTTAACACCCCTGCTCTACAGAGACCACAATAAAACTGAGTCAATGGCAATTTGATAGTACATAATCGGGCTTAATGTGTAAACGTAATCCAAATTTTTGGAGGGAGGACTTTGGGGGAAAATGTCTTACTTACAGATTTGAACACTGGGCGCTATCTAACAAAATGAAATTCAATGCTGAAAAAAGTAAGGTTCTACATTTAGGCAAGAAAAACCAAATGTACAGGTATAGTATAGGGGGTATTAGGGGGTACCTTGCTCAATAGTAGTAACTGTGAAAGGGATCTCGGAGTCCTAGTGGACAATCACTTAAATAGGAGCCAGCCGTGTGCTGCAGCTGCCAAAAAGGCCAACACAGTGCTAGGCTGCATTAACAGAGGGATAGAATCAACATCACGTGAAGTGTTAATACCACTTTACACTGCCTTGGTACGGCCACACTTGGAATACTGCATCCAGTTTTGGTCACCACGATGTAAAAAAGATGCTGAGACTCTAGAAAGAGTACAGAGAAGAGCAACAAAGATGATTAGGGGACTGGAGGCTAAAGCATATAAGGAACGGTTGCTGGAATTGGGTATGTCTAGTTTAACGAAGAGAAGGACGAGGGGGGACATGATAGCAGCGTTCCAATATCTCAGGGGCTGCCACAAAGAAGAGGGAGTCAAGCTATTCTCCAAAGCACCTGAAGGCAGGACAAGAAGCAACGGGTGGAAACTGATCAAGGAGAGAAGCAACCTAGAACTAAGGAGAAACTTCCTGACAGTTAGAACAATTAACCAATGGAACAACCTGCCTCCAGAAACGGTGAATGCTCCAACACTGGAAGTTTTTAAGAAGAGACTGGACAGCCATTTGTTCGAAATGGTGTAGGGTTACCTGCCTGAGCAGGGGGTTGGACCTGATGACCTCCAAGGTCCCTTCCAACTTTATTATTATTATTATTATTATTATTATTATTATTATTATTATTATTATTATTATTATTATTATTATTATTATTATTATTATTATTATTATNTTGCTGGCTGGAGAAGTTGATGTCCACACATCTTAAAAGCTGCCAAGTTTGAAAAACACTGCATTAAGGTCATCGAATGAATGTGACTGAAGGAGAACAAACAAAAGAAAGTATGATTTCTAAAGCACATCATTTATCCCTAGAATTCATTATCAAATGCAGTAATATGTTGGGTGGCTTTAAAGCAGGGGTCTTCAAACTTGGCCCTTTTATGACTTGTGGACTTCAACTCCCAGAATTCCTCAGCCAGGCATGCTGGCTGAGGAATTCTGGGAGCTGAAGTCCACAAGTCATAAAAGGGCCAAATTTGAAGACCCCTGCTTTAAAGGGAGATTAGTTAAACTCATGGTGGACAGGTGTGTTGAGAGCTATCAATCTTGAACGTTAAATGTTATTTCTGAGTTGGAGCAGCATGCTGACAAGAACAAAGCAGAAAACACCGATAGAAACATCATTTTTGTTACCCAAAATAAACAGAGAGAGCTTAGCAAATCATGTTGGGCTTACCAGGTTTTTTTAGTTGTTTTTCTTCTGTTTAAACATGAGGGAATGATAGAGAAAACAGCAGGGAGCTGAAGCTTTAACATCTGAAAAATAAATTTATGGCCCCAATTACAGTACACAGTAGATTGAAGATACGATGGTACTTGAGACTTATGAACAATTTATTTACAGACAGATTATATATGGATAATTATTAATGAAATATGCTTGAAACTTTTGTAATACTAGATGGATGGATGGACGGATGCAATTATAGATACATTACCTGTAGTATTGGTTGTATTGCATTTTTCCATGTTGGTTACTGTTTTTAGTTTTTTTAAAATCTCTGTCCTGTTTTTTTTAAATAAAACATTTCAGGGTATACCCGTAGCAATTTTTTTCAGCATTTCAGAACATTTTCTTTGAGATATGTCTTAGCTTTCTTCAAGGGATGTGAGCTTTTCAACATGAAAATATTTTAGTTTACATTTAAAATAGTTCCATCCCATTATTTAAAATAAATAGTTCTATCCCCTTATTTAATCACAGTCTGAAAGCATCTCACCAATACAAAAATGTAAGTACATTTTGTAAAATTGATCCATAAATGCGACAGAAATCTTCATTCACTTGTATGAGGAATGGGTGACTTCTGTAGCTTTCTACATTAATAGTCTGAGTGGAGCAGAACAGAATAACAGAGTTGGGACCTTGGAGGTCTTCTAGTCCAACCCCCTGCTCAAGCAGGAAACCCTGTAACAGGGGTCTTCAAACTTGTCCCTTTCATGACTGGTGGACTTCAACTTCCAGAATTCCTCAGCCAGGCACACTGGCTGAGGAATTCTGGGAGTTGAAGTCCACCAGTCATAAGAGGGCCAAGTTTGAAGACCCCTGGCCTATACCGTTTCAGACAAACGGTTGTCCAGTCTCTTCTTAAAGACCTCCAGTGATGGAGCACTCACAATTTCTAAAGGCAAGCAGGGCCTCTGATGGGGATTGCTGGGAACTGTGATTAGGAAACATATAGAGCAGGGGTGTCAAACTCAATTTCATTGAAGGCCGCATCAGCACTGCGATTGCCCTCGAGGGGGGGTGTGTGTGTGTGGCCAGGGCGGGTGCAGCCTACTGGGTGGGCGTGGATGGAGTGGGTGTGGCCTACTGGGTGGGCGTGGCCAGCTCTACGTCATTCACGTCAAGGGTGCCTGTGGGGGCCTGGGCAGGAGTGGGACAGATCTGAGGGTCTCTGGCAGAAGGGGGTGGGACCAGGGCAGAGCCCATCAAGCCAGATATGTGAAGTAGGCGAGGGCCATTTGCTGGCCACTTCCAGGCGATGGTGCATTTCTTCATTCCTCACAAAGGGTGACACCTCCCCAGCATGCACCCAGGGGGTGAGGCCGACATGGCAGGGGCTGGTTCCTCGCTGTTTCTAGACGGCCTTGTGGAGCTAAGACTGAATGCGTTTCAGCATAGATGGCCACCACAAAATTGTACATTGGCTCCCGGCCGGCCTGGGCCAGGGCCAAGGCAGCGGGGGCCGTTCCCTCACTGTTTCCAGGATGGCTTCGCGGGCCACATGAAACCACTTCGCGGGCCACATCCGGCCCCCGGGCCTTGTGTTTGACATTTCTAATATAGAAGATTGCCTACATCTGCCATACAAGAAGAATAGACCTCTCAAATCTCTTCTCCACATTTGGCTAGTCACCTTCTCAGTGGTTGCAAGCTCAGATCTACTACACTGTATTGAGTTGATATTTAAGTATAGTTTAACTCACTACATGTAGTTTTTCTGTTATGCCACAAGTTCAGTTGTTTTCCTGCTACTGGGAAAAAAGGAAGGAAATCGTGTGAAATGTTTGTATCCAGCTGCAAGTGTCACCTTTCTCATTGCCTCTAAAGTGGACATCCTGTGCTGTGCAATCCATGAGATTTATTTTCTGACCTTCAAAGGCCCCTTGTAGTTCAAATCCTACTCTGGTTATGATTTTAGGAAACGCTGAGGTTCAGAAACCCATAGAAAACATAAGAATATAAGCAGTGCCCTTCTGGATCACATCTATCCCATCTAATCCAGCAGTCCACAACTGCACAAGGAGCCTTCTGGTCTCCCAAGAGATGTTCTTCAGAGGCAGTCCTTATAGCCTTTGATCCCAGGACTTCTTGAACTGAACTGAATTGGTCCAATCAACTGCAATTCATCTTGTGTTGATGAATTCCAAAGTTGAATCGCTCGTAAGGTAGATACAAAGCGTGTCTCTTGAAGACCCAAAGTCTGTTCTCCAGCAATATTGGGCTCCCTCAGCCCTCCTTCTAAAAAACACCAGATGCATCGCTTCTTTTTCCAGGTGTGATTGTGGCTCCTGTTTTCTCTTGCCAGGAGATTCCATTCCAGCGGCCATTGAAGAGATGCTCTGTGGTGGGCAACAGTGGCATTCTGAAGAACAGCCGCTGCGGCAAGCAGATCGATCAAGCGGACTTCGTCATGAGGTAAAAGCCGCCATTTTGGCTACGCTTGCCTCTCCTCCCTTCGCTGTTTTTTTGAAGTATAGGGAACCTTTTCTCAGGAAGAATTACAGGTAGTCCTCAACTTACAACCATTCCGTCTGGTAAACTCGCAAGATTCGTTTTTCTCGCCATGTACATGTATACATAACCCGAACTAGACTGTTGCTTCTCTGTGTCATATAATATATGTGGGTATATGCATAATTCTGTATTTATTTATTTATTTTTGTCATATTTATGTAGCGTATATCGGAGGTGGTGACCCTTTGAGAGCTGTATGCAACGAAATTTCATTTTAATGTATGCCAATTAGTGTACATTCAAGGTGACAATAAAGTTATTATTCTGTTCTATTCTATTCCGTTCTGTTCTATTCCATTCCATTCTATTCCAATGCATTCTATTCTATTCCATTTCATTCCAATGCATTCTATTCCATTCCATTCCATTTTCTATTCTATTCCATTCCATTCCATTTTCTATTCTATTCCATTCCATTCCATTCCAATGCATTCTATTCCATTCCATTTTCTATTCTATTCCATTCCAATGCATTCTATTCTATTCCATTCCATTTTCTATTCTATTGAGTGACTGTTCAAAGTTACAAGGGCACTGGAAAAAAGGATGTCAGACAATAACCCTTCCCATCACCTCTGATCCAACTCTTTTTTATTGGACATACCAAGGATTGATATGCAGACCAATGGGTACTGTCATCATTTCCATATTATATCAGTGTTTCAACCTCCTTAGTGTTTTATCTTCCATATAGTAACTTGTTCTCAGACCTATCTCGGTCTAGGGATATCAAAGGTTAAATGCAGATTTTTCTGTGTTTAAGACATGTGTGGTAATACTGCATTATTACCATCTCCTTGTCCATGTCCAGGTAGTCCTCTCTTACTGACTGCTTGTTCAGTGACTATTTGAAGTTATGACAGTGCTGAAAAAGTTGGTTGTGACCGGTCCTTGAATTTGCAGCTGTTGCAATGTGCCCATGATCACACAATCACCCTTTGGGTGCTTCACAACTGGCACGTGTTTATGATGTTTATAGTGTTGTGTGGTCATATGGTTGCCATGTATGAGTTTCAGTTGCTGGTTTCTGACAAGCAGAGTCAATAGAGAAGCCAGCAGTGAAACTGCAAGTTGTGGTCATGCGATGTGGCATTTAATGACCTGTGATGATTTGCTTAACAGCCACAGCAGAACTGATATCACAAGTCCAGTGCCGCTACGTGGCATTTCACTTAGCAATGGAGTTGCCAGTCCCAACTGAGGCAGTAAGTTTACTTGCCTCAATGGGAAAAACCTTTTCTTAATAGATTTTTGACTTGAACAAATACATGAATACTAATAAAAGAGAATATTAGTAGCTCGGAGTTGAAATGAAGGGTCCTTGATGCTCTCCGAGCTTGCTTGTTTTCTTGCAAACGTTTTATTACCCAACTAGATAACATCATCAGTGCTATTAAGGAGTGTGGTTTGCTGTCAGTTTTGTATTCTAGGGGCTTGCCTGTCAGTGTTGGTGGGGGCAGATTCTTTGATTGGGCTGTTTGCTCTTGGCTTCTTTGGCAGTTTCTTGATTGGGGTTTTGTTTACCTGATTGTTGGTCTGATGTTAACCTTGGAGTTATTCTATGCTGATCTGGATGCTGATTGCTGATGGACAGGTGCTTGGGCCTTTTTGTTCCTTTTTGGGCTGAGTGATCATCCCTTTCTCATAGTCTATAGATGTAACCTGGTTTGGGTAGTGAAACATCTGCAAGAAAACAAGCAAGCTCAGAGAGCACCAATGACCCCTCAAATACACGAATGCACATAAGTATAATTTATTATAATATGCTTTTCTTTTTCTTCCTTTCAGATGTAATCTTGCTCCACTAGGCAATGCATATAGCAATGATGTAGGATCAAAAACTCAACTGGTAACTGCGAATCCCAGCATAATTAATAACAGGTAAGGAGAGAATTGTCTGTTTCTTCTTCAGTTCCTAGGCCGAATAGGAAGGAGAAAGAGGCATCCTGTTTTTTAGAAAGAAAGAAAGGAAGAAAGAAAGAAAGAAAGAAAGAAAGAAAGAAAGAAAGAAAGAAAGAAAGAAAGAGGCATTTTAAAGTCAGAATGTTGTGAGCAGAATTGTCTTTCTAGCAGCCTGTGTACAATCAACCACAATCTTATAGGGTATGTTAAGAAATGAAATGACTCATCTGTCATCTCAGCTGATTTGAAATCGGTTTGCATCAACATGCTTCAAAAAAAAGAGGGGTGGATACTGGAATATGATAGTCAGAGCCAACTATGCGGACTCAACGTGGGTCAAAAGCTCACATGATTCCCAATTTTGGTATTTAAAAGGGAAATTTTTAGCTCTTGAACTTCTGCTTGAAACATGTAACACTTCAGGAGCCAAACGTGTGGCTAAACAAGAAATCTATAAATGTGGCCCGAGTCTCGTCTCTGTATCAAGCTTCTCCTACTGAGAAGTACAGGCAGGGGAGAAAAAAAATGTAATTTGCACATTACTAGATCAGTGGTCCCAAACCTTTCCAGCTCTGCGGACCTGCAACGGTGGGGGAGGGGGGATGGTTTTGCTCATGCGCCCACCTTGCGCAAATGGAGCTTCGTGCACTTGCCTGCTGCTTGCACAACCCAGTTCCCAAGCGGCCACAGCCTGGTACCAGGCCATGGCCTAGGGCATTGGTGGCGAACCTATGGCATGCGTGCCAGAGGCGGCACTCAGAGCACTCTCTGTGGGCCCATGCGCCATTGCCCCAGCCCCGCCTCTCCCCATGGCCCCTTCCTCACCAGCAGCCCCCCCCCGGAGGAGAGTCGCCCACGAGCACGGCCCGCACGGAGCAGCCCAGCCAAGGACATGACAGCTGGGCAGTGGGGACAAGACTCCACCCTCACACCCCATCATGCGCAGTTGATGCTGCGGGGTGCGGTCAGAGGGTGTGGCCGCCATGGCGCTGCTGGGACACCTAGGTGATCTGCGTTGGGGCATGGAGGCGGTGGGTGGCCCTGCAAATGGGTGGGGATGGGGGCGGGGCGGGGCAGGGAGGGGGCTGGTTTTGGGCACTCGGTCTCTAAAAGGTTCGCCATCCCTTCCTAGGGATTGGGGACCCCTGCTATATACTGTATATAATACTAGATGCATTTGCATCTCTGAATTCTGAAATAATTTCCCTGCCTAAACAAACAAGAGTTCAAAATAGCCAAATTAACTGTCAAATACTGATTTTTGGAGGAGTGAAATACCATGAGGTAGCTGAAATTCTGAAGTTCTACTCACTGAAACTGACCCATGTTTAGATTCTTCTTTTCAAAACAACCCACCTGAAGCTATCATTTATACTCGCAGTGTGTCATCTCCGTGTAAGAAATGAAGTCATCTTCTATATTTGTAAACTTGCATTTCGTGTCTGTGCATATTTTGGTTAAAGCGTTTAGGAAATTACATGTCTTTCACTGTACTATTATCTGGAATCGTTGTTTTTTTTTTACAGCATCAGTGTCTAAAAATTATGCAAACGGCCAGGGTGTGATTTTTTTTTTTTCAAAAGTCTCACAGGCTTTGGCAAGCTCCCAGACAGAGAACCAAGATTTATTCCCTGCAGAAAGATTTATGCGTCGTGAGCTTTTCTTCAGAATTCAAAGGAGTCCCCACGGATTTTACTCCGTTATTCATTGCTGACTATAGGGCAGGGGTAGGCAATCTTGGCTCTTTTATGACTCGTGGACTTCAACTCCCAGAATTCCTGAGCCAGCATGGGGGAACCATGGCCCCTTCATGACTTGTGGACTTGGCTGGCTCAGGAATTCTGGGACTTGAAGTCCACAAGTCATGAAGGGGCCAAGGTTCCCCCATGCTGGCTCAGGAATTCTGGGACTTGAAGTCCACAAGTCATGAAAGGACCATAGTTCCCCCATGCTGGCTCAGGAATTCTGGGAGTTGAAGTCCACAAGTCATGAAAGGACCATAGTTCCCCCATGCTGGCTCAGGAATTCTGGAAGTTGAAGTCCACGAGTCATAAAAGAGCCAAGGTTGCCTACCCCTGCTATAGGAGATGGTGCTCATCTCCATTTCAAGGGCCGTTGAGCCAGCGCTGTCCAAAGACATTTCCATGGTCATTAGGTCAGCATGACATTACGGAGTGCTGTTACCTTCCCACCAAAGTGGTATCTATTTATCTACTCGCATTTGCATCCTTTTGAGCTGCTAGGTTGGCAGGAGCTGGGGCAAGGACGGGAGTCCACCCCTTCGCATGACGCTGGGGTCTCGAACTTTGGACTGTTGGCTTTTCCAACTGACAAGCCCAGTATCTTAAGCACTGATCCACTGCGCCGCTCAGAATTCAAATACCCTGCGAAATCTTGAGCTGCTAAGCTACAGGAGAGGTTGAAACCCACCAGATCTAATACAAGAGGAGATGGGACTGGTGCCAGCACTGCCAAATGTGGGCTGCACCTGAAATCCTCAAAATACCCAGCCCATCCTTTGCATTGCCCAACCGATCGTCTACCTGTAGTTGTAAGCATGTAGCTCACTACCAAACAAAGACTTGGAGAAGGAATTTAATGGGCAGTAATGTGTGAATTAACCCTTACAGTATATTAAAAAGAGACTATAAGATGACTCCGCATTGCTTCACTTTGAGAAGAAGAGGGATGAAGGGAAAACCCTGGAGATTCTGTTACATCAGTACAGCTCCAGGCTTTTCATTGAAGACCTACCTGGAAGGGTTGACCTCAAGTCTTGAAAGCCATTTTCTCTTCGCAGTCCCCAAGTTTTGGCCGTGACCCTCCAGAATAACCCCAAGGTTGCTGTCGGTGTTAAGTGTTTCATTGGACTGAAGGGAAACACTATTCAATGCAAGGAGAAAGATAATAATAATAATGATAAAGTTGGAAGGGACCTTGGTGGTCATCTAGTCCAACCCCCTGCTCAGGCAGGAAACCCTATACCATTTCGGACAAATGGCTGTCCAGTCTCTTCTTGAAAACTTCCAGTGTTGGAGCATTCACCGCTTCTGGAGGCAGGTTGTTCCACTGGTTAATTGTTCTAACTGTCAGGAAGTTTCTCCTTAGTTCTAAGTTGCTTCTCTCCTTGGTTAGTTTCCATCCGTTGCTTCTTGTCCTGCCTTCAGGCGCTTTGGAGAATAGCTTGACTCCCTCTTCTTTGTGGCAGCCCCTGAGATATTGGAACACTGCTATCATGTCCCCCCTCGTCCTTAATAATAATAATAGTAAAGTTGGAAGGGACCTTGGAGGTCATCTAGTCCAACCCCCTGCTCAGGCAGGAAACCCTATACCATTTCAAACAAATGGCTGTCCAGTTTCTTCTTAAAAACTTCCAGTGTTGGTGCGTTCACCGCTTCTGGAGGCAGGTTGTTCCACTGGTTCATTGTTCTAACTGTCAGGAAGTTTCTCCTTAGTTCTAGGTTGTTTCTCTCTTTGGTCAGTTTCCACCCATTGCTTCTTGTCCTGCCTTCAGGGGCTTTGGAGAATAGCTTGACTCCCTCTTCTTTGTGGCAGCCCCTGAGATTCTGGAAGATTGCTATCATGTCCCCCCTGGTCCTTCTCTTCGTTAAACTAGACGTTCCCAATTCCAGCAGCCGTTCCTTATATGCTTTAGCCTCCAGTTCCCTAATCATCTTTGTTGCTCTTCTCTGCACTCTTTCTAGAGTCTCAACATCTTTTTTACATCGTGGTGACCAAAACTGGATGCAGTATTAGTTATGCTGAACTAAGGAAATTCCTTCGTCTTCCATGTCTCGATGAAACTTTAAACTGCCAGAATGAAGCCACCTTCTTGGCTTTGTTGTTGGCCAAAAATGTCATTATAGGTACATAGCTGACATACCAGGAGATGGGCTTGGCTCTGCTTCTTTCCACATTCACATGGCATGTTGTTATTATTATTATTATTATTATTATTATTATTATTATTTTAATTTCTATACCGCCCTTCTCCCGCAGGACTCAGGGCGGTGCACAGCATATTAAAAACAGATACAATAACAATATACAAAAATAAAACCCTTCTAAAACCAAATTAAAAACCAAATATTAGAGGCTGTGTTCCAATTAAAATTATACTTAAAATCGTCC